CTTGCGGGTTTTTTCTGTTGTTGCTTGGATTAAGATACAAGTAACGCCTACACACACTTGACACATGCCCGGTAACGGGGCAACGTTCAATGAACAAAAGCAATTGGCAAGTTCGTGTCTTAAGTCTTTTGTTTTGTGCGCTAAGCTCATGAAATCGCATCGGGTTCACTCAAACGTTTTGACAAATCGCTTAAGCAGTGCTTAAGTTCATGATAAACAGTAGATTGCATTGTTAATTGATTGATTACACTGAACAACAAGTTTGTAGAGTTGAAGTCAAAAATTTATTTTATTACATTTTTTTTATATATTTTTATTTATATATTTTATATCTGAGATGAGCTCAATACTTGACTTGAGAAAAATTAGTAGAAAATGTTAATTGGTATGATTTAAAAAATCGCATCTAATATACTAATTTTGCACTCATAATACGTAGTAAACTGGAATCACATATATTCATCTGTTTCTCTATATGTGTATCATCTCTTCAATAATTTTCTTCTCGATAATGCAGCTAAAAAAATCAATAAAAATCGAAAGTTTGATTTGAAAGCCACAAATTGAAGTACTCATTTTATTTTCGTTTTATAGTACAGCTATTTACGTATTTGGAATTCTGACGTCATATTTAAAAAAAAGAAACATCCTTACTCAATTAGTATAAATTTCGCATTTTTATCTGCTCTCGTTAGGTTGCTGTTGTTTTATTACATTTCAAACCAGTTATTTCGTAATTAGTTTCCTCAAACTTGTACATATTTGAACCCAATTTGGCATTTTGGCTATTGCTCAAAATAGTTTCGGATCTGATTATCTGTTTTGAATCGCGTGATATCCGTGTTAAGAAATGAAAGCCAAATTAAGCTAGTTAGCTAAATGCCTTCGGGCTTTAAGCCTAGCCAATGATTCTACACGGAACTAATCGAGCGACTAAATCGAACTGGTGCAAGTGACAAACAGTGTGAGAGACAACTTAAATAACAGCTAACTAAAGAAGAAGAAGAAGAAGAAGAAGAGAAAACAAACAATTAAATTGCAATTGTAATTGCATTGAACGTCTGACTAAGTCTTAATACCAGTTAAATGCATATTATTATTTAAGTCTGAATGTGTTGACAGTGTGAAAAAATAAAAACTGGTTTAGTGACGCGCCTCCAGTAATTTTCCTTAATCAATGCGCTATAAAATGTGTATATATGAAAATAATATAGCTATAACTGACCTACGTCAGAGCCTGCATATTTTATATTACGACTATCTCAATTATTATGCATTTATTTATAATAATCAAAACAATTATTATGTAAAGAATGTCTGAGTGGGAAAGGAAGGCAAGGAAAGGCTGGCTGGCTGGCTGGCTAGCTGGCTAGCTGGTTGGCTTCTCTTGGGCACCGGAAGCACTTTTATGAAATTTACATTTGGTTTTCATTTGCTTGTTAAATTCAATTAAGCCGCTAGCGACACGCAATAAAAGTGAAAATCTCTCGTACGTAATTAGATGTAATCTCTGCGGATGGCCACTTTGCTGATGTTACGTTACGGATCATAGGTCATGATACCTGTGACTCATATGGGTGACACTCGGATATGGGTTAACGCTTGACTGTTGCTGTTGCTTCAGCTGGCTATATCAATTGTTTTTCTGCCGAGTCATCGGACGGGCACACAGTGCGTATGCGTACTATGCGCAATATATATGTTGAGCTAGAAGTCGATTGTGCAAACGCACACGCTTGTAACTCGTGAAAAAAACCCCAAGCACAGTGAACCACAGGCGGTCATTAAAGCAGCTAAATACAAGTCTTGCCACACAGTGAGAAAGATAGAGATAGATCGAGCGGGAGAGAGAGAGAGGGAGGGAGGTAGGTAGATAAACAGCGAGAGGGACGTTAACAATAAAAATTACCGCATTGCAGCTTTTCAGTTCTCTAGCTGCAGCAGCAGCAGCGAGTGCATCACGAAAAATGCCAAGCAAATAACCAGATGGGGCTGTCCAACCAATAATTACTGCCCAGCCTCCTCAGGCAGTGACCACACCCGCACAGCCTCCAGGCTAGTCCCATGCATCTCGCTCGCCTAATGGCCGAGACTGTGTGCCATTAATGAACTAACCAAACCCCATGACTTGCCCCCTGGACGCTGTTCGCGAGTGTCTCTGTCGACGAGGCGACAAGCGACAAAGCGACAACAAAAGCATTGTTGTTTATCTTATTCTCAGACTGACTGACAAACGGCCAATACAAGTGCTGTTGCATGACATGCAGCACAACAGGTGCCAGCAGCTGCCCATTAGCTAACTTGGCCGAAAAGCCAAAGCTTGCCATTAATTGACAAAGTGCAGGATAATTATGTTGCTTGATTTCGTTCAATTATGAAAGGTTTTACCAAGGTTAAACTCGAAAAAAATTAAACCTTTTTGCGTAACAAAATATAATATAAAAATTAAGTTCTTTTATGTGTATGACATTTGTATTTTTGTCTACCAATTTGTTTTTTAAATTTAATATTTCTCAACATTTTACCTTAAATTTATTTATGGACAATATTTACATATGCAAATATTCTGCAATATGGGGGCACGGAAAATTGCTAAATCTAAAGTTTTAGGATTAGGAACTAAATAACCATCGACATACTATACATACATAAATACTAATGTATATACCAAATTAGGGGCGTGGCAAATCGTAAATGAATATTCTGCAATCTGTAACGGCCGACTGCAAAGTTCTAACCTGTTTTTATTTACAATATATATATATATATGTATATGGCAAAGTAATCGAAGACAAAGTTCGCTTATTGAACATCTCATACGATTTTTCAATTACTCATGCATTACTTTAAATCTCAAGAATATGTGTGGGAGTCATTCTTAAATTCTGCATTTTCAGCATGACTTCACAAGCGTGGAATTATTTCTTGTTAAAATATTTGATGAAGCTTGAAGTCGAACGATTGAGTTAAAATATTGTTTCACAGTTTAATGACATTTTAGCTAAGTTAACCTATAGTATATATGTTTCGAGACATTTGATGAAATATTATTTGAGGCTTACCAAATGTGTCAAAATATTGTTTATAAATTTACACATCTTCTAACTGGAGAAATGTGGCAACTGAATCAGTTTAGAATGAGCGCAATTAACACTTCTTGATGAATTTCTCTGGGTGAACATCAAGACTAACTAGTTTCAGCTAACGAGTCTTTTGCCTTTGGCATAGCTCGAGCTCAAAACCCGTAGATTGACGTCAACTCAGTCCAATTGAACCTTAGACTCTCTGCCACCTGTCACCTAAGCCCCGGAATAAATAAGAATATAAATTGCAAAATAAAAACCTAATTGCGAGCTATAAACCTTCAAGTCTAATCTAGAAAGTTCAACCCCTCGGTTTCGGTTCGAAGGTTTATGATAATATTTAAAAGAATTTTCAGTACCGTCTAGAGCTTCTTTACATGTCTAAATTTTTGTTTTATTAAGCATCTTAGACTCAAGAATAAACAAAATAAGTTTGAGAAGAAATTATTATTTTTTTTTTTATTTCTAGGAATTTCTGACCCAATTCCATTTATTAGTTGCCCTTAAATGATATCAAAAAATATCTTATGTTTCTCTAGAACCTTCCAGACTTTAATAAATTATATCACACGTATGATATAATAATAATTGCAAATAGAAACCCATTAATTAATTATTATAAAGAGAAGCTGTGCAACTTTTTCAAATCGAAAGAAAAATCCAGAATTCAACGTAGTTCGCTCACTGCACAGCTGTCAGGGAATTGGCTTTTAATTGCGCTCGATGGCAAATCGAATTGCAATTAATTGCGGCTTTCCGCATATCTTACTTATGGGCCATATTCTGCCAGCCAGCAGCTACTGACAAATGACCGTTACTGATGCGACGTCGATATGCGACTTTAACGATATGCAGTCAATTAAAAACAAGTCCTACACAAATTCACTCACGCCTGGGCAATTTGCAGCCATCTCTTGACGATGGAAATTATCAGGGCGTCAGCCATTTGGCTGCCTATAACTGCCATTAACATAACTTGTTTAATAATATATTACATTTGGAATCTTCAATTATTTTAAATACTATATTTTGCTCATTTGCTTTTCCTGTTCCTGTTTGAGTGTTTTCTTGTTGTATTACATGTGGATGAGATTGTAGTTGCAACTGTAATAGACCAGTTTACTTACGGGTGTGGCGGTAAATATATTCTTGATCAGCCTGTTGGGGTCACCCCTTCTCCTGCGTGTTACATAACATCTAACCAGGTCTGCATGCCTGTCCATATAAACTCAATAATCTAGCTCGCGAGAATTCAACTTTTTTAGTATACCTAGCACATTCGATTGGCTAAATTTATTTAGGCTCAGCTCGAAGAGTTGAAAATTTAGAGAACTTAAAATTTACTATCCATGTGTGCAAGGTGTTCACATACATTCGTAATGCATGGCAGAAATAGCAGCTGTATTCTGGGTATTGGCTAGTCGAGCACTCCCCACTGGAGCATTTGCACTTGTTTTTCTTAAGCTTGATTTTGGGCAACCCGACGCCAAAACGTTAATTGACGTACAAATATTATGGGGCTACATACGGAAACTCACTGAGAATGCGGTTTGACGATTTTTCTTTCCGAGCAGCCGGTTTCGTTGCTAACACACACACACAAACAAGCATATATGTTGCACAAATGATTCAGAGTAGATCAATGGGTAGGTGGTTAGACAGACAGCTCGTGTTAGACTCGGCTTTAGCTTTAATTACAATCCCCTAGATCGAGGCACATGGAGCCAGCGGCTGGGGACCCACGTAAGATTTTGATGGATTTAACTGATTTTTAACCGATTTAATAGTTTACTACTAACGGCTTGATGTTGCAATTGATTTAACATTTGCACCCTATAAGAGCCAAGGCTCTTTATTGTAGCCACATTGCCTAAGAGTTTGACTAACAATATATTTCATTTATTTTTTGTGTTGCAGGAGTATATCAGACAGTTTTACGATGGCTGGCGGGATCTCATGGACAACAAATCAGATCCGCGCACCCGAGACTATCCGCTCATGAGCTCACCATTTCCAACGATAGCAATCAGCTTGGCCTACGCATATTTCGTTAAGGTAAGTGGAAGGGTAGCACACAGACAGACAGACAGGCAGACAGACAGACAGTCATCTATAATTACACCTGTGGTCGCTCGGGCAGTAAAATAAAAATCCCCAAATGAGCGGCTCTAGAATATAGCACTTAAGAGTGCTTAAGGCGGTTAGGGATGTTCTAGCTGGTTCCAACTGCCAATCAACTCTTGATGACCTGGCATTGGCACGCGGATGCATTTTACGATCGACTCCTGCACCCAGTGAAACAAGTTTTTCATTGCAAAAAAAACTAAAAACAATAAACTAAAAAACTAAAAACAAAAAGAAAAACGTAAATCAAAAGCGATAAAATGAAACATATTAAATAAGTTCAGGGCCAGTCGAACCATTCAAAATCAAAGGCAATCAGCGCTAAACGAGCGAAGCCGATGTCGAAACGCGCGATACTTGACCCAAGTGGGCCAAAATTACATATGCAAAAAAGCAGCAGCAGCAGAAGAAGAAGAAGAAGAAGAAGAAAAGAAGTAGAAGCAGCAGAAGCAGCAAGGAAAGAGATGAAACAAAATTTGTAAAACCCAAATTCGAAAAACGATTTCTATTTAAGTTTCAGCTTTGCATTGCTTTACATTTTATATATACATATGCATGTAATCATTTGAATGGCTTTCGAATAGCGCACACAACAAAAGACTTAGGCAACGAACTTGTCCCAATATCAACATCAGCCGCAGCCTCAAGAGCCGCCGATTGATTCGATAATTACAGCATTCGTCGGACACCTTTTGTTTGATTATGTAGTATGTGTTAGATGCTCAATTAAAACCAGTGCTGCTGGCCCAGCTCACACAGCCCCAAATGACATCTATGCTGGCTGTCAAACGAATTTCGAGCGTTTTGTATTTGTTTATTTACATATTTATATATCAATATATATGCATATATGGAGAATATGAACTATGCAGAACTCCGAGCCGGATCTCTGAGCCGGTTTTATAATAATGCATAGTTATAAACATTTATAGTCATATATATTTATAATAACAATTATACAAAAGTTTAAATGCATTATCGTACTTATGATTTATTCTGTAATCAATACGATTTATAGTCTTGAGACATATTGCGCAGTTCTGTTTATAATAATTTGTAATATAAATCATATATATGCACACATATACATATATTACAAGTGATTTATATTTATCGTATCTACGAGACATTGTGTGATAGCTTGATAGCCAAAAGTACAATTAAATCCACTTTAATTTGAAAGCAGTGCCACATTGCCTTAAATTATATAATTATATAAAGTGTTCTATACAAGTATAGCAGCCTGGACATCATTATAAATATAAATAATATAAATGCACTTAAATTTGGAAAATAAATTTGTACAAATTACATCTAACTTAATTTAGTATAATTTAAATAAATTTAATTTTAAACAAATATTTGATAAACAAAAATGACTTTAAAAACATTTTTTTATTTATAAAATAAAAAATAAAAAAATTGTATATAATTTGTATATCAAATTTTTCTAAATACATTTAAATTAAAGAATATTTACAAGTTAAAGGTCAATTATATTTTTATAAAAATTAAAAATATTTTAAAATTACGTTTCATCATATCAGATTTAAATACAATAAAAATATCTATACAACATTCTCTCTTTATCACACTTCTCTGCAGGTGTTGGGCCCCAAGCTGATGGAGAACAGAAAACCCTTTGAGTTGCGAAAAGTTCTGATTGTGTACAATGCAGCACAGGTTATATTCAGCGCGTGGCTGTTCTATGAGGTAGAGTGTGTTGAAAGCTCTGCCACTATTCGGAAATAAAACCATAAACTTTATATTTCTAGTCTTGCATAGGAGGCTGGCTGAATGGCTATAACTTGAGATGCGAACCCGTTGATTATTCCTATTCGCCGCGTGCGATACGTGTGAGTATCAAGTATATAGACAGCATATACATAAATAGTATTTATATGTTTATATATACGTCTATGTGTGTGTCTGTTAGAATGTATTTATGATTTAGCTGGTGTTTGTTCAGTGTGCCAGATTTATATGTATTAAGACAACCAGTTCTTTTTGGCTTAAACAAAGAGGAATAACGGCGACAGGTTCTTATGCTAATCAATCGATGACAAATGTCTAAGCCGCGATGCCGGCCGGCTGGCTGGCCTGGACCGTTCTTGGTCTTGCCTAGATTGAAGACTCACGTGTAAGCGGGCTTTAAAAAGAAACTGCCGAAAATGATCGTATAGAAAACCAATAAAAATTTACATTGTCCAACCTATATATATATAGCAAATAATAATGTATTTGTATACCCTGTATATTGTTTGCAGACCGCATATGGCTGCTGGTGGTACTACTTCTCCAAGTTCACCGAGTTCTTTGACACATTCTTCTTTGTGATGCGCAAGAGATACGATCAGGTGTCCACGCTGCACGTCATCCATCATGGCATCATGCCCGTCTCTGTTTGGTGGGGCGTCAAGTTTACACCTGGCGGACACTCGACCTTCTTTGGCTTCCTGAACACCTTCGTCCACATCTTCATGTACGCCTACTACATGCTGGCCGCCATGGGACCCAAGGTGCAGCGCTATCTCTGGTGGAAGAAATACCTGACTGTGATGCAAATGATTCAGTTCGTGCTCGTGATGGTGCACTCGTTCCAGCTGTTCTTCAAGAACGACTGCAACTATCCAATTGGCTTTGCCTACTTCATTGGCGCACACGCCGTAATGTTCTACTTCCTCTTCTCCAACTTCTACAAGCGGGCCTATGTGCAGCGCGATGGCAAGGTATGCAAACAAATTTATAAGCAATATATATATTTGGCTTATAAATTTTTGTCTCCTCTACAGGACAAATCGGCTGTTAAGGCCAATGGTCACACAAATGCCGAAATGAAGCAGCTGAAGGACGGCAACAGCAATGGCAACGGCAATGCCCACTCAAATAACTTCCAGAATCGCTTCCAGAACACCTTCTCCAAATTCACCACAGAGATGTGCAATCCGGCTCTCAACTCCAACTCGACGTCGACGGCGCGACAACGTGTTCAATGCGGGCAACAAGTGAGAGCCGAGCCGAGCCTACCCGTGCCGAGCCGTGCCGAGCCGTGCCGTGTCGAGCCCAGCCAGCCAACCAAGAAACAAAGCATAAATTAATTAAATGTAACAAATTAAATTACCGTAACATTAAATTAAACGTAAGCATAGGGAGTCCAAGCCTAATTCTAAGCCAAATCCACAACGAACATTATATTGAAAGCAAAACAATTGAAGCTCGAGAAAAAGAGAGAAAAAAAAAAAAAAACATTTTATCATAAAAATCCAATATTTGACAATTGCACGAATAGATCAAGCAATTATATTTATATATATATTCATATATATATACGTATAGAATTTTCCAAAATATAGTTAGCTGATAGATCTAGCTAATTCATATATATGTATATTTGTGTTTGATATATGTATATATACAATTTTTTATTATTCGGTAAAAGAAGAGAAAAGAAAAATAATTTTTGTAAGCGTGTTTCGTTGGATTTTTTGATCTACAGAAAATGTGTTTTTTATTTTATAAATAAAATCGAGATTTACAGAAAATTTTATAGCTTTTCCCATTTGCCTGATGTTTATTTTTATTAGTAAATAGCTGCCGTTAATGAAGCTGACTCTACCTGAGCAGGTAGCACTTCAATGGGTCTACTCACACGTGTCATCATGATTGAGCAAGCATAAGTAAACACTTTTTAGACCTCAACTAACTGACTAAGCATATTTAATTATATGTACTTGTGCATAACGAAGTAGCATTTGCGTATTTGTTTTTTTTTACAAGCTTCGTTGCTAAGGCAAACCTGTTGTCTATATATATGAATAGGCAATGCTGACTCCTTTAATAATTCAAAAAGCCGTTAAGTTACGTTCATGATCGTGGGTGAGTTTTGGTATTTTTTCGCAATGCATATCGGTATATTTATCCAAGTGCACAGTCTGGTCACTCTATTTAGTAACGGAGCTGCCACACCACTACAAACAGTTGGCGCCAAATAGCATGCTCGCTCTTTATCGGAATTACTCAGCTATATACAAGAAAATGTGCGGCAGGCACTCCAGCATTTTGCGCTCTCAAAGAGCAAATAAGCATAAAATTGTGACGTCACTGAGCGACGTATGCAATGTGACGCGCTCCTTTAAATATAACTAAATGAAACAAAAGTTTCTTCAATTACCACATCAGTAACGTTTAAAGACATGATTTCCTCAAATATATTATTTGTTAAGTAAAAAGTTATGAGGCTGTTGATGTACCATACGGATGTAACTTTTGCGATACCTTGTAATTTTTTTGACATCATGAATTCTCTTGGCTTTTGTCGTTTTTCTTTTGGGTTTATTGTTTTTGTTGTCCGCTTAGTTTGATTTTAGACTTCCTTGTGTATGGTTGCTGCCGTTGTTGCTACGTTTGCGGTTCGGATATAATTTTTTGTTAAATTCCGATTCTTGTGCGTGGGATACGCGTGAGTTAATTCACAGTTAAAATAGAAAAGAATCACCCAGCAGCAGCCAGAGAAATGTACTTAAGTTAAATTAATGCGAATAGTTTTCTAAATTATTTAAACGCGCGACGATCAGTGTGATATAGTATATGTGTGTGAATGTCAGCGTGTGTGTATGTGTGTGTGATTGAAATTCTAAAAATTTAAGCAAAATTCCAACGGTGCACGTTCGCTGAGTTCGCCGGCCTGAAATCATTGGCGGTAAGTTCGCATCGATTTTCTGTTAGCAACTTGTTGTGCACTCCCAGAATATGCATTCAGTGGTGAAAATTAGTCATCAGAGTAGTTGCTGCGTGGTTTTAATTAAAAAAAAAAACGACAAAATGAAAAAAAAAAAACGGTCTCCTGTTTCCCGCCGCGCCCAGCAACGCACCGCAAGAGTGACAGACAGGGAAGCAACAGCCAAAGTAAGAGAGGAAGAGAGTGCACGTGTATGGGGCGCGTAATTCGCTCTTTCCGTGTGTGCATGTACTTTATAAGGTTGCATGTGTGTGTGTGCGCGCTAGTGTGCGAGAATGAGAGTGAGAGCGCGTTAGCACGTACGTGTGCTGACTGCCCTTTTAAGAGGGGGAGGTCGAGGTGCGTTAATAACTGTTAATTACTGTTCAGGCCCGAATGAGAAAATATATATATACATATATATATATAAATATATATATATATATATAAATATATATATATATATATATATATATATGTATATATATCTATGTATATATATCTATTTATACATGTGCCCACAGTTAAAAAGAAACCCTTGCAAATTCCAATGTAAATTTCCTTAGTTCACTTACAAAAATAAAAACCACGATATGCAAATGCGGTCTCCGCTGTCAATTGCTTGGCACACATTCAGTTATGTCAATTCATATTTGTTGCATCATTTGCTGCCTCTCCCCCAGTCAACGTCGAACTGTCAAGTGCGATTGCGAGTGTGAACGCCTGCGCCTGCGCAGCCCTGCATTGCATTTTTGTTTTTGTCGATCACAACAAAAAAGTTTCACCTGTCAGCAATGCGGAAATCGTTGGCAATCGAACAGTGGGCAGTCGGCAGTCGCTAGTCGCTAGTCGCCAGCCGATAATCGAAATCGCAATCGCAATCGCAATCGCATTCGCAATCGAGTTCGTGTAATGCAGAAGGTCAGCCAGTTAATGCGCCCATTAAGTAAAGCGAATGAAAGCTTGGATTTGTATTTATTTATTTAGTTTGTTCGACAGAGCTTTTGCAAATCTGATTTCAACATCTGTTTGCATTGTCTGAAAGCCATAGCTCATTAGCAAACATTGGGTAATAGTAAATATAATATATACAATTAGAATGGTGCATTGCGCTAATTGCATTCTTAGCTTAGCCTAACACTTGTAAATTGTAAAATCAATAAGTAGAAACGAATTAACGCTAAAAACATTTGTTTATAGTCAACAAATGGGAAATCAAAAGTCCTAAGGTTCAAGTTCGCGTACAATTTGTTCACTCTCTCTTCTTCTCCGTCTGTCGTCTCTGACTCTCCCTCTCCCTCGGCCTGTGCCTCTCGGTCTCTCTGTTGCCACTCGACAAGATGTGCCACTACTTTTTCAAGAGAGCTGACGCCGCTTACGCTGCGCTGCACTCGCTGTTAGCCAATTGGGAGAGCGTTCAAAGTATCGTATCATATAGAAATTTCATTTTAGCACCGCAGCGTCCAAAGTCCAAGCCAACTGGCTGCCGAATCGGCTACACAGATACACACACACACATGCATTCGTGTGCGACTGTTTGGTGTGTGTGTGTTTCTCTTGCGTGGTCTGCTGATGTCTGATGCCAACGTATGAGTATTTTAAGTATCTGTGTGCGTATGTATGTCATAGATGTATGTATTATATGTAGGAGCATCTTATGCTTGATAAGCACTCTGTGGCACAGCTAATAGCTTGAAGTTCTTTCAACCGGTTTACCCACAAGAAATTAAATCTACAAGAACTTTCATTGCAAAACCATAGAAAAGCAAAAATATGAAATACCCTGTAAGATGTAATTGTAATGGAATTGCGCAAACAGTTTGGAGCTCGAATAACCAGTAATGATTTGACTTTTAGTCAATGTCAGTTAATGTTTAAAATAGTATATGAAATATTGATATATCTAATTTCTTATGGCTCGAAAGTTAGATTACATCTAGTGCCGCATATGTAAAGCGTAACTGATCATCCTTATTCAACATCGTTTTCTAGGGTATTCAGAAGTTTTTTTTATTGAAATCGATCCGAATCTATGCTGTCTGTTGCGGCACGTTTTTACAGTTATTGTGTTTGACCACAAACATTTGAATATTACCACAAAGCCAACAACAACAACAAGAACAAAGTGAACAACTTGAACCGACCGGCCAAGAGGCCACCTGTTGCTCGACTATGAATACAAAAGATGCCGTTATATGGCAGCGGTTATAACACTTGACGGTTTTCGGTGATAATTTTGACCCAATAAGGCGTGGACTTTGCCTGTAACATATTTGCATATTATTTAAGTGAAAAATAATCAAAAATTGTTGGTTTTACATTGTATGTATATGTAAAATTTCCCTTTTAAGAGGCTTCGTTAGGGCAATCTGAACTGATCATTGATTGTCTTGGAGTGGCTTACCCATTTTGGCTTTTACAAAAATTCAAAAAAGAAACAAAACTCGTTTAGGTTTATATAGCGAACCATCTGGAAGCTGTTGCATCCACATCTTTTGGGATTTCATTTTGCACTTTTTGATTTAAGTTAATGGCGTTGACTCAATTCCAAATTTTTCGCACATTAATTTGTCGGCCTTGGCGCGGGGCTGTCATTAATTATGTATTCACATGTAGTTTTGCTTTTTTTTTTTTTTTTTTTGGGTATTTCACTATGTCTGCAGCCAGGTGAGTTTCGAATTACGTTTGACACACTTGGCTTGTTTGGTTTTAGGCTATTATGTAAGTGTTCGGTTGAACAAAAGGCTTTGACCTCATCCTAGAATTCATTTTAATTATTAATCGATTTAGTTTATAAAGGGTTTGACTTTTGTACACTATTTCAACTAAATGAAATGAAGTTAAATACAATATTTTTGTTTTTAATGAATTGTTTATATACCAAACTACACAAAAAAAGTTAAATAGATTTTTAAGAATTTAAGAAACATATTTTTAATAATAAAATAAAATTGGGGTAAAAAAATATAAATTTATTTAACATTGAGTTAACTATACATTGTATACATACATATATAAAATATATACATTTGGCCAGCTTTCACTGTACTAAGCGTGCATATACGTTAAATTCATAATTTTTTGATATGATAAGTGAAACTTTTCACCCAAATTGCATTTTTTGCCGCGTTTATCAAAGGACAGCTCGGACTCCAACTTGGGCAGTGAGTTTTACTTACTTGCGCTTTCATACAACATTGGCAAACCCAATAAACCAAAAACAAGAAGCAGATAAAGAAGAAGCCGAAGCAGAAGAGGCAACAAGTAATGCTCGCTGCTAACTGCCTGGTTGGCGAATCGAACGATCGGCCTTTATTTAACTTTTGTAACGCTGGAATGCCAAGTATTTCAGTACAATTTTTGACTGCTGTTGGCTAGCTGGGTTTTTTTTTTTTTTTTTTTTTTTTTTTTTGTCTCTTTGATTGTAACGTCTTTCGTGGCCAAAAGCCGCCCAAGCGTCACGCACTTGAGCTTGTTTTGTTGTTTTGGGCGTTGAGCTACTTTTGGCCCGTTTAGCTGTATCTGCTGTGCTTTTATTTAATTTTTTTTGCGCTTACTTTGCGGCCTCTTTCGCGTCCCCTAGCCGGAAAAAGAGAGATGAGCAAAATACTGACCGAATTGGTGCAATAAACTGAAAGATATTTATAAAAGTGATAAAATATGTACTTGAAACTAGAGAGTTCTGAAAGTCTTTGATGTACTCCCCAACTAGAAAAAAAAAAAACAATTGCTTATCTCTACACATTGACGTAGTTAATAATACTTACTAAGTAGTTCAGCTCAACTAGCTTTATTTTTTCTTGTTCATTAATTTGATTGCTCATCTCTATCGAAATCGTTGCTGAACTCATTTCGTGCGCTAATTTCGGACGCATCAAAAATTAATTGACTGCCATTACAAACAAATACTCGCACGTATGTGTCTGTCTGTGTGTGCAGGTGTGTGCAGGTAGTTTTTATCGACCTCCATATGTATGCCCAACTCATTCATAAATAAAATAACATCCACAACTACATAGCATCCACATGTAGCCTGCGAATACGCCATTTTGTTTGTATTTGAAATCAACGCCATCGAGTGCTAATAAGACCTGCATACACATGGTACAATGATTAAAAACAAAAATTAACAAAATTTACCATCAACAGCAGCAGCAGCAACAAAATTTCAAAGTCAAACGAGTTCAGGGTCAACATTTTACATCCATTGCTCGTCCTCGCAATTGAGACAAAGAGGGAGAGAGCGTGAAAAAAAAGAAACAATATATCTATTTCGATTCGGTATTTGCCGTAATCCACATGTGACCCTGAAATTCATTTGCTACGTGCTGTAGTTTCCGTTTTGTAAGAAAGCCAATTTGCTTTGATGTCTCTTCAGTGTGTTGTTTGTGTCTTTGCAATTAATTTTGCACTTGCCCCGCCTGTACGAAAAAAAGGAACACTAAGTTCAACACACATGTATTATTTATTTATCTTTGACTTTGACCCGCTTCGCGTGGTATATTTAATTTCATGCAATGGGATAAGTAGGCGTCAAGTCGATAAACAAATATAGAGTGCGCTCGTATTGGAACTGCTCGACTAAGAGATACCGTTAACTTTTGACAAATCTCTGAGAAAAATGGGGTATTCCTAATATTCAAATTGTCTGTATTCATCACTGAAATCTCGACAGAAATTTTTAAATCTTTAGTTTTTGTAAAAGCCTGTCTAAAATTATCGATTAATATCGATAATAAGGAAACTCCAACAGCATCTATTATATATTTTATATGTCAAGTCTTTAACTTTTACGATTAAAGAGATCGTATATCACAAGGAAGGACAGGGATCAGATAGTTGAGCAGCAAGCAGACCATCGTCCTGATTTTTATTTCATGAAGTCTGATAGATCAGTTATAAGGTATACAAATTTGTGTTAACATAATCTGTTGCACAATAATAATCAAATATTTAGAACTGGTTAATTTAAAAAAATATCT